CCACTACATGCATATGCTTCTAGATCTACATAATCTCTCCACCAGGTATCCAGAAACAAATAGCAGTGGATACCCTCTATTATTATGCCATACATGCAGCCATCACATGTGGTGTCATTTCATCGATGCAATGAGTCACCACAAAATCTCACAAAGAGATGCATCTCACTAAGATATTCTCGACTGCCCAGATAACTACCAGCACATCTCTTCCCTCTAATTAGGGATAGTGACGAAATGTGTGCAAATGCACACTAGCGGACGGTGGTTTGTGGCGACATCCCTCCAAGGGATTTTCATCATATAATTAACCATTAAAGGTCAAATGACCTAAGCTTTCCACCCTCGGAGGCTCAAACATCTGCCACAAAGGCATCCATTCCACAAAGGCAGGTAATATCACAAAAGCCATAATCATCACAATGGCACAGAGGCTACTCAAAAAATCTCATAGTCATAAAGACTTATCAACTGGCTGACAAATGCTCTAACATGCCACCAAGCCATCAATTATATGATCTATCAATTCGTGTAAGTCTCCTTGCAGCCACACTCCTTTCAAATAGGTCAATATTAATACCCTTTGTTAATAGATCAGGAACCATCAATTGTGTAGGAAGATAGTTAACTTCTACATCCTTATTTGCCACAAATTCTCTTATGGAGTGATATTTCTTCTTAATATGCTTTAACTTGCCATCATACATTGGGTATTTTAAAATAGTTATTGCCGCTTGATTATCACAATATATCATTGTAGGCCTATGCCCATTGGCTAGTGGCATTTCACTAAGAAATTGCCTTCAGAATATTGCATCTCTTAAAGCATGATACAATGCAACGTACTCTGCTTCCATAGTAGAGTGTGAGGCACATTTTTGCTTCTTACTATCCCATGAAACACATGTCCCACCAAAAATAAATAACCATCAAGATGTTGATCTAAATTAGCATCGCTATATCCCTCAAGGATTAGGCCATAATCATGTGTCACTTTTAAATATCTAAATATTCTCTTAACTAATTTCCAATGCTCAATACCAGGATTGATCATGTATCTATTAGCAACCCCCACTGCATAAGCTATATTGGGTCTAACACAATTCATCAAATAATTAAGTGACCCTACAGCCTGTGCATAAGGGCAATCCTGCATGATTTCTTTCCCTTTATTAGTCGTAGGACACATTTCCTTTGTTAATTTACAATTTTTGTCAATTGGGGTAGCTATGGGTTTAGAATTCTCCATTGTAAATTTCTTTAGTACTATAAGAGTATATTGCCCTTGGTCAAGATATAATAATATTTTATTTATGTTTCTAGTAACTTCAATTCCGAGACTATAGTCAACATAGCCCATATCTTTCATCTCAAACTTAGAGGACAACCACATCTTACATTCCTCAATGGCTTTTCCATCATTTCCCGTTATGATTATATCATCTACATACAAGACTACAATTAAAAGAATACCCCCACTGTCTTTAGAGTATACACAATAATCTGTAGTGATATTCTTAAATCCATACTCTCTAAGTGTATGTGAGAATATCAAATACTATTGTCTTGAGGATTGCTTTAAACCATATAATGATTTAATTAATTTGCATACTTTATTTTCTTGACCTTCACATTCAAAGCCTTCAGGTTGAGACATGTAAATTTCTTATTCTAATTCAGCATTTAAAAAGGCAATTTTACCATCCATTTGATGAAAATCAAAATCATAATGATTAGCTATAGCTAATATTATTCTAATGGAAGATTTCCTGGCTATAGATGAAAAATATTATTTTAATGACTAGCTATGGCTAATGGAAGATTTCCTGGCTAATGGAAGATAACCTTGTTTTATATATGTTAACACTTCCATTAGAATTAAGCTTATTTGAATATACCCACTTACAACCCATTGCCTTTCTATTTGTAGGTCATTCTGCTCATACCCATGTTTAATTATTTATTAAAGACTCATATTCAGTCCTCATAGCTTCCATCTCACTCATTGCTTCAGGCGAACTAATAGCTTCCTTAAAATTATATGGTACTTCATTAACTTCATTATATTATATATAATTATCTAAATAACTAGGTCTTTTAATCTCCCTTGTTTTCCTTCTCGGCTCAAATAATTTAGTAGCATCAATTTGAGAAGAGCTTCCTACATTAATTATGTTAGGATTTTAAGGTTTTTCTTCCCCACTTTGTTCTAAAATTCAAGCTTATTTTACTTTTGATGTTTCAACATTTTCAAAGAAGTAAGGATATCTACCCTTAACAATTTCTTTATATTCTTCATTATAAAATCTATATCCCTCAAAGTCACTTGAGTATCCCACACAAAAGCAATTTATAGTTTTGGGTCCTAGCTTATCCCTCTTCTCACAAGGAATATGAACATGTGCCATAGAACCCCATACCTTGATATGGTCTAGATTGAGGTTCCCACCAAACCATAGCTCACAGGGTGTTACAGTCGTTGATTTGGAAAGCACTCTATTTAATATATATATTGCCGCCACGATAGCTTCTCCCAAAATCGATATTCTAAACTGGTTTCTTGAATCATACAATTGACTATATCAATTAAAGTTTTAATTTTTCTCTCGGCTATTCCATTTTGTTGAAGGGTGTAAGGTAAAGAGGTTTTCCTAACTATTCTATTTTTATTACAAAACTCACTAAATTCTTTGGATCTATATTCTCCTCCTCTACCACTTCTAAGAATCTTGATTCTTGTATTTAATTGGCGTTCAACTTCTAATTTGTACCTTTTAAATTTGCCTAGTGCTTCATCTTTATGAGAAATTAAATAATTATAAGAGTATCTAGAATAATCATCTATAAAAATAATGAAATACTCACTTCCACCTATACTTTTGTGCTTTAATTTTTTACATATATCAGTATGAACAATTTCAAGTAAATTTTGAGCTCTTTTACCTTTAGGAAATAGTTTTCTATGCATTTTTCCTTAAGCAAGTTTCACACCTGAAATTTTCCTTTTTTAGATCAAGGATAACATTTTGTTTCATTAATCTTCTTAATTTTTCATAACTAATATGATCAAGCCTTCTATGCCAAATATTAAAACACTCATCATAAGTAAATGGCTTTTTCATTTTATTATCAAGATCAAGTTTGTACATGTTACCAACCATTGTGGCCTTTACAACAAAAGCATCATTTTTCTTAATAATCATCTTTCCATCCCTTACATAAATTTCACCCCCACCCCTATTAATCCTAGATAGAGAGATTAAATTCTTTATCATGTTGGGGGAATACAAAACATCATTAATGGTCAAATTGCCACCGAATGGGAGTGGAAGCTTAATTGTCCCTTCTCCGAGAATATTAATACTAAACGAGTTGTCCATAAAAAGTTTTCCAGCACCATCACTCTTTTCTTTGAACTCCACCATATTGTTCATAGTTTTAGTGATGTGCCTAGTAGCTCCAGAGTTCACCCACCATTCATCAGGGGAGCTCACCATCAATGGCTCCTCAACCACAAAGGAGAAGTCCTTGGAGCCACTATTTTGTCCAACATTCTTTATCTTGGATTCCTTACAAAATTTAGCAATATGACTAAATTTGTTACAATTACAGAATTTCTTAAACGTGTAGGAGTTTTGAAGATGGAAAGGCTTCTTAGCATTCTTATTAGGAACTTTGTTATCATTTTTCTTGGCCATTGCTAAGTAGGCTTGGTATTAGCTCTTTCATATTTTCTTTAACTCTATCATTCTCTTCTATCCTCAAATGTCCTCTAAGGTCATCCAATTTGTATTAGTATGGCACAAGTTCTTTTTCAAAGCTTTTCAAGAATTTGGAAGGTTTTCAATAATTTTCATAATTTGTTGGTGCTCACTTATGGGCTCACCATAACAGGCAAATTGATTAACAATAATATTCATATCATCAAAATAATCTAGCACCGATTGATCATCTTTCATCTTATAGATATTATATATTTCATAAAGCTTACATTTAGCAACATAATTATCATCGGTGTGCCTCTTTTCAATGGTAATCCACAAGTCCTTAGCATTAGCATACTTTACAAATACATTGTGCAACCTATCACTTAAACAATTTAGAATAGCACCTCTACATGAAATATCATCATTTTTCCACTTCAAATATTTTTCCCTCTCTTTAAGAGTTGAGTCATCATCTGGTTCACTAGGTTTCTCTTCATTACTCCCATTTAACAATTCCGTATTATGAAGCAAGAAAAATAATTTGCCTTTCCATATAGAAAAATTAGATCCATCAAGCTTCTCAATTTTTACCAATTCTGAAAGTACGCTTCTTGTAATAGCCGTCCAACTGTAGCTCTGATACCAAATGTTAGGATCGGTTTACGGTAGCTATTAATATGGATTAATGCAAACTTAGATTTGGATCAAGATCTCTCTTTAAATTGTACTTGAAGATATTATCAAACAATTTGCATACATATAATCCAATTACATAAGAAGCCCAAGCAAATATCCATAATAAGAGCTCCTCAAATCATCAATACAAATCCCCCAAATTGTTATCCTCTATTTCATGCTTTATCCTAGTCATGAATCAAGATGAAGAAATAAAAAAATGGAACGAACTCACCAATATGCTCCAACTAGGGCTTATAAAGAGAACAAGTAAATCCACAACTTCAGATGATTAGTGTGTCCCTTATAAACAAGGTGCAACACACCAAACTCCCCAAACCCTACCTCAATGTACATAAATCTATTTGCTTCAACTGTTGGAAAGAAAAAGAGTGGAGGAGCTTTAAAAAAAAGTGGAATAAAAAGGGATCAAATGAAAATGGGGTATTTTGATCATTAGGAAAAATAAAAATTACATAATTTTATTTATTTCAAAACTGCCCCTAAGGGCATGAAGAAAACCAAGCTCAACAGTTTCAGCTCCCAAGTGCAAATTGAACAAAGGAGTGAATACCCTCCCTCCTTTTTTCCGAATTTAAATGAGAGAGAAAGAGAGACCTTGGTACCAAACGGACTGTGTGACTCCGAGCAAAAGTGCCCTTGCCTCACGTTGCGATCAGAGGCAGCAATGCGGTGGAGGACAGCAAGCAGGAGGCCAATGGCATAGTCAGCAACTTCCTCTGCAAAAACAGCACCGAGGTTGCCCACAGCCACGCCGCGTCGCCGACACACGCTCATATCGATGTGATCCACCCATCATGCTGGTTGTCACCACCAATTTCAACCCAGGGAGGGCGTCAATCAAGGCGGATTCCACAGGCCCACTACGACCCCCTGCACAGCACCGCGCTCACCAAGTGGGCGTGTGAGACCAGGAAGCTGTGCAGGGGTTGTCCCGAATCCCAGGGCTTGAGCAGGTCGAAGTGGAGCTGTAGGGCCTTTTCAAGTGAGGGCATGATGGGGTCTTTCAAGAGCACAACGGGCCGCTTGTGTTGCTCCGCCATGGCTTCCTTTTGTTTTTCCTGCTCACAAGAAGCCTCGTCTTCCATCTCCTCCTCCTTTTCCTCAGGAAGAAGATGGTGGTGGTGGCAGGGGACTCAACAGACATGCAGACTTCAAACCCATTTGTTTGTAGATATGGTTCATCTGAACGCTGCATTTTTTAATGTACTCTCTGTAAAAACTTTTGGCTTCTGCGAATATCCAGTTTCCTCGTTAAGCGAAAAACACAGCGACTTCCGTTGAAATTCACTGATCAGTTGGTTAAAGCTGGCCCGTCGTGATAAAACTTCCAGGACCACCTGCGGGTTGGCGGGGTACCCAAGGCGCATTCGATGGGTGGTTTTACACGTGGAATGAAAGCCTCAGTTTCGGAAACACGAGTGAATAGCTTCGTTGGGGATGTAAAAACCTCCCAAATGACGAAGTTTGCTTGTAACCGCCCCAATTGAATCCATGCGCTTTCATTGTGTGGCACTTCTACCCCGTTGAAGATCAGTCAGTTATCAAGCTCACTAGATATATACCAAAGTAGCCCTGGACACATAAGAGAGTCGCACATGCACAAGTTGGCTAAGAATAACGTTTAATATTCCTCTTACACAAGAATGCTCATAAGGCCCAAGGATTTCATCCTTCTAACGTGTTACAAATGAGGCACATCCAACAACTAGAAACCTTCTAGCCTGTACAAAGTTTTAGAGCATTCTACACAACCCTTCCATTATAATACTTCCAGAAATCCACTAGAACCCTCATTAGTTTGCTACACTATTCTAAAACCTTCCAGGCCCAACTGATAAGAAACATGAGTCTATGTACATATTGTACAAAGACTTATACAGGCAATGTTTAGCCTCCTTATATGGATAGTGCTTAACCTTCTTTTGGGTTGTGACATACCTCTCTTAACCGGGAAATTATTTTGAGTGGCCAAACTTCTTGTGAGAGGGGTGTTCACCCATCTCAAAACATCTGGATTTATACCAAGCATTGGGCCAAGTCAGGTCCGGCCTGGGCCACTATTAGGTTGGTCTAGTGAAACCTAGCCGAGATCGGGACTAAGCACTCTGGCCTAAGCCTGGCCCTTGTGCCCCATTTTGTGACTCAGGTCCTGAGTTTTTTTTTGAGGTCAAGCTATTTGGCTTACTACCAGCCCTAATTAAGCTTGGGATCGCAATAGGCTGGGCCGACTCTAGTCATAGACCAAGCCTCGGCTCACAATAGGTCGGGCCGACTCTATTCCTAGCCCAACCCTGGTCTTTATAGAGTTGGCCCAAACTCAGCTCATCTCGAACCAAGCCAAAGAAGCCCTAGCCTAAGCCTGGCCCTCCCCCTGTTGGGCCCTATTGCAACCCCGGCCCCAACCTAGCCTTTTAGGTCACATTTTACATTTTGTGGCTAAGGCCCTAGGACCAGGCCTGCCCTGTCCCCAGCCCTATTTTATTCCTTCCTTGTATGATTGCCATCTCCATTTGTGATTGTGGCAAGGCTGGGCATGCGTCAATCTAGATGCAGATTAGGTGAGGCATCTCACGGTTCAGTTGCAATGAAAATTAGTTTCCGTCACATATAATAACAGTTATTTGTGCCGCCCAAGAATAAAACAACATGAGAGAAATGTAAATGAAACGTTCAAAAAAAAAAAAAAAACGGAAAAATTACGTACATATTTGTTATAGTTTGCGTTATTAAAAAACTACCGAATAGTTTCCGTTATTATCTATATATCTATTTTTTTTCATGTCATAACGAAAATTTTTAAAAAAGACAATTTTACCTTTTTTCGGTTGTTGAACAATCGAATTCTATGGATTTTTATCAGCAACCAAAATCAGGCCAATTTCGGTTTTTGAAAAACCAAAATTCAAAATTTTTGGTTGTTTTCTTCAAGAACCTAAATCTTTTTTATAGGTACTCCTATTCTTGGGTTGTTGAACAACCGAATTCAATGGATTTTCGGTTGTTCAACAACTGAAATCCTCTATACCATTCTTTAACCACGCAACAACCAAAATCCTCTATACCCTTCTTTAAGCACGTTGTATCCGTCTTTCCCTTTAAACTCTTCCCGATTTTATCGACATAGATTAGTCATCTTTAACCAGCTTTGCCTAAATTTTCCCTTTAAACTCTTCCCTATATTTATCGACGTAGATTACTTATTGTAGAGAGAAACGATAAACATAGGGAAGAGTTTAAACCCTAACATATATAGAGAAAATGAATAAACATAGGAGAGAGAATGGATAAAAGTTTAAACCCACCCAGGTATAGAAAGAGAATGGATAAACATAGGGGAGAGTTTAAAGGATAGGGAAAAGTTTAAACCCATCCAATGTTTATCCATTCTCTCCCTATACCTTACATTTGGTGAGTTTAAACTCTTCCCTACCTTTTAAACTCTCCCCTATGTTTATCTAAACTCTCCCTTATGTTTATCCATTATCACTCTATAGCTTACATTAGGTGGGTTTAAACTCTTCCCTATAGAGTTTAAAGAGAAAAGACGGGTAAAGCGTGGGTGAAGAACGGCATAGAGGATTTGGATTATTGAACAACCGAAAATCCATTGAATTCAATCGTGCAACAACAAAAAAAAAGGTATACCTATAAAAAAAAATTTGGTTCAAAAAAAATATTTTGAATAACCGAAAATTTAAAAATTTCGGTTATTCAACAACGAAAAATTTTGAATTTTTGGTTTTTGAAATACCTAAATTGGCCTGATTTCGGTTGTTGAACAATCGAAAATCCATTGAAGTCGGTTGTTCAACAACCGAAAAAGGGTAAATTTGCTTTTTTTTTTTTCAAATTTTCATTATGAAATGAAAAAAACGGACAGATAGGTAATAACCGAAATTATTCAATAGTTTTGTAATAACACAAACTATAACGGATACGTACGTAATTTTCTCAAAAAAAAAAATTGTAAATGACTGTTAGCCCTTTATTCTGATACATTTATTAGAACAAGACAGCTAGGTAGGTTATTTAAAAAATCATGACATGCACATGTATGTTTTTCAAATGGGTTATCCCTGATTTCCAAGCCTCTATAATTAGGATGCAGTTTTTATAAGGCCTAGGCTTTATAAAAACAAAGTAAAGACTCACCTTGAATCCTCATCTTTAGAGTATTTTGGGCAGTTTCCAACTTTGACTGTGAAATTTGAAGGTTAACAATCGGAACAAATCTTATGGATATGTGAATACTCATCTTTAGGATGAAATGGACGATCTATACATTGTGTTATAATATATACTATTTTTAGAGCTTGAAATCCTAGTTTTTTTCAAACAACTATAGTGGTCAATGATGAGATGATCAATTTGAAGGTTTTTCAATGTCAGAATTGCAATATTCGCTGAGTTTCGAGATGAGGCGTTACTTATTTTGATAGCGCAGCAGCCTATCAAAACACTTTCCTTATACTTATAAGTTGTACTATTGGATAATGCGGCTTCTTTCAACTTTGTATAAAATGCTTCACAAATTTGTTAAGAAATTAATAACTGGAAATGATATATGGTCATCCAATTTTTCCAAATATTGTACTCACTTGCAATACATCTTTGAGCATATGAGAAACTTTACATAAATATCTTAGAAATAAAGAGAAGTTTGAGTTCCAATGGTAGCAGATTATTTGTGGGAGTAATATGTTCATACTTTTTTTTTTTTCTCTTGTATATAACTTATGTTGTATTTTGCTTTTTTATTTTTTATTTTTCCTTTTAATATTAAATTATGTCTTGGTGTCATATTTTCATATTTTTTGTTTCCCTTTGTATATAACTTGTGATGTTTTGTTATTTTTTAATTTTTCTAGTATTAAATTGCAACCTAGTGAAAATGGAACTCTAGAAGTCATGTTGTGAGCCCCTGAAAATATAACATTTTTCTAAAAAAAGGGCAACAAACTAAGGCTACAAGTCAGCCACCAGCCCAAGAAAAATTTAGGCCTATCTCGGACCGCAGGTCCTTTTTTCCTAGTCAAAAGACCCATGTTGTGAAGAGCCCCACCCAGCCCACGGAATTTGGGAGGACATCCATATTTAGACAATCATGTCTTTTAATATGATATATCTTAATTTGAAATATTTTTTAAACTTCTATGTTGAGTTTTGTCTTTTCTTATTTATTTTCCAAAGATGATTAAACGAAAATCTTTGCTCTTCAATTCATCGTTGTTTTCATGTTATGGTCTTCTTTGTTATGTGTTACATTGTGAGAGATTTATTTCTATGAGAATTATTGAAAAATGATGCTTGAGTTTTTTATTATAAAAATTAGCTGCAAATAGGCTGGATTTAGATTATGTTGAAAGTATTTGCTCTCCATGTTTTCAATAGTTCCATTTGAGTTGTTATTAGCAAGAACTTGTAATTGTAGGGTTATGGGAAGCCCTTGTTTGTGGAATAAAGAATCTTAAATATCAGGATCCCACCCAATATCGTATATCTAATTAGCTAAATGCGAAATAAATGAATACAAATTATAAATCGAGTGTAAGAAATAAAGCAAACATACAAAGCATATAATAATGACACACTATTTACATGGTTCACCTTATAAGACTGCATCCACGACCTTGACAAGTAGAAGTCCCTTATCATATTCAAGATTACAGTTTTAGGTCACAAAAGATATATATCTCTCCAAAAATTGATGAAAACTCTTACTAATCTTCTTTGCTAAACCTGATCTCTTGACCGAGCAACATTGTTGATCAATACCTTCTTTCTTACCGCAATACCGCTACCAGAAAGATAACCGAGATAATCTTTCTAGAAGTGGATACCTTACCAACCCAAAATTTTCATGGGAAAATCGCCTCTCTCTATTAGGCCATGTCTCTCTCTTAGAGACCCGTCTCCTGTTCAGTCAATGAGGTGGAGCTATGGGCTCTTCACTTCAAGATTGCTCTTCACTTCAGAATTATAAGATTGAGTGTAGTGCATGTTAGAGTAGTGATTGTAGGAGATTCTTCTAATGACATCCAATTATGCAAATCTCCATAAACAGTTCATTGGCAATGGACCCAGATCATGGATGAAATTATCTACAAGCTCCTAAACCAAGCAGTAAGTTTCACCCACATCAATAAGGAATGGAATTACGAGGCATATACCTTGCTCTCTCTCTCTCTCTCGTTTCTTGTTCCTCCCGTCTCTCCCTCTCCTCTCTCTCTCATTTTCTTTTTTCGTTCTTCCCCTCTCTCCTCGTTTTCTTTCTCATTCCTCTCCTCTCTCCCTATCTCCATTGTCTTCTTTTCTCTTGTTTCTTTTCTTATTTGCCTTTTTACCTTTCTCTACTTGGTACATTCATTCATTCAATGAAAACTCGTTAACATTTAAAAAAAAGAAAAGAAATTTTTTTAGTTGTTTGTATTGCACAAGTCTAACTCGGCTATGTACCTCACAGTTATGACGTTGTCTATCTATTCTTATCCCAAGAATGTTTTGTTTCGTCCCAAATGACACATACGTCACGGTTTTGTTTATTGATTCGACACCGGTGACTTGTATATTTCCTTTTCCCTTATTCTAAAAACAGTAATACTTAATTAAAAGTTTGTGATATTTCTGCCCAGGGGTATTCTTGAGACCCCCTGTTTGGGATGTATTCTTTTCAACCAATTCAAAAAAGAAGACATGTATGCTTGAAAACTAACATCCTAAATTTGAACTGAGACTCCTTAATTTTCAGGCAGCTAGATCTAAGTATCAAATGACTGAAAATATAATTTTTTTGTTTCAAAATAATTATCTTGTGATTCTCAAGTGGACCCTAAATTCAAATTCCAAAGTCTTTCTTAATTAGCTTTTTTCACCCACGTCTAGGTGGCCAGTATGCTTCTGTGGGAGAATAGTATAACCACTGCTTTTACTTGAATTTTGGGGGATACATCCTCTTGAACCTATCGACTCCAAAAAAGAAGAAGAATAAATTAAAAAAAAAAAACTCTTTTGATATGAAAAAAATAATGTCCTAAAATTGTAATTAGATTCTCCAATTTTCAGCCATCAAGATCTGAGTATTAATGAACTAAAATTTCAATTTATTTATGAAAACAATTTCCTGGTGATTCTTGAGCAGCATTGTTATTCGATTTTCTCTCTCAAGAAAAACTCTAATCGTATTTTGAGGACCCAAAATTTTGCAAGAATACCCTCTTCAACCAATTGGCGAATTCTCCCCCCCCCCCCCCTCCCCTCCTTCTCAAAAAACGAAAAAAAAAGAAAGGAAAAAGGAAAAAATAAAATACTTTCTCTATGAGCCCTAAAAATGGTATGTCCTAAAGTTGAACATAGACTATCAAATTTTCGAACAACCAAATGCAAATATTAAAGAACTCAAAATCTTGTTTTTTTTTTTTAATATGATCAACTAGTGATTCTTGAGTGGGCCCCAAAATTTCATATTAAAAAAAATCTTCCTTTTCATCCAAGGAACTAAGCGGACAATATACTCCCTGAGAGCATTGTATCTTTTAAATTTAGGAAAAGTATACAATGAGACTATTTATCTTTGGTATAAGATGGTCACAATTAATCTTGATTATCGTATGTGACATTGGGTGGTTGCATTTAGTCAATTGACCAAGCTCAAAGTTCAAAAGAAATTCTCTCGAACTTTATGACACATCCAAGCTATCAAATTTCACATCATATGGTTATAAGTAATTGTGACCTCCTTGTACAAAAGATAAATGGTCTCATTGTATGCAATCCCTTATATATATATATATATATATCATTTTAATTGCATGGATGTTCCCATGGCGCTTCCAATTCACCACTCATGCTACACTCTAGGAAGCAATCAGGCAAAAACATTAGCTTTGAGATGTCATCCATATAGATCAATACATGTATTTCAAAATTTTCAGTACCTTTATTTCACTGGTTTTGAAATGTTATGATGAATGGACAGTGCCACTTTATCAATATTTATCACGCCCTGTTTTTTAATGGAAGGAATCGAAAGTTTACATTTTGTTTGGATCTAAAGCATGATACAAACTTTATCCAACAAATACAAGTCCTCTGTAGTCTAATTTCACTTCATCTTATTCTTGTTTTCACTTCAGTTCTTCTTACTACATTTTCTTCATAATAGTAGCTATCATCATCAGTAATTGTAGAATTGCTAAGCTCCATTATTTTTATCTCCTTCTTCATCTTCTCCCCACCACCCTTCAATGTATCAACTATTTCAATCATTGTAGGCCTTAGTTCTGGAGTGCTTTCTATGCATCTCATGGCTACCTCAATAGCAACCTTTAACTGAGCCCTGTCAAAACTGCTCCTTAACCTCGGATCGATAATTTGATGGAGATCTCCTTTCTCATAGAATGGAGTTGCCCATTGGCCAATATCCCTTTTAATACCACCGGGCAACTTCTCGATCGGCTTGCGCCCACTGATTATCTCTAACAGTAGGATCCCGAAGCTATAAACGTCACAACTCTCTGAGACTTTCCCCAACATTGCATATTCAGGTGCCAGATAGCCTAATGTGCCCTTCACCCTTGTAGTTAGATGGCTTACACCTTCTGGAATCAACTTTGCAAAACCGAAATCTGCAACTTTTGGTTGAAAATCAGAATCTAACAACACATTGCTTGCCTTAATGTCTCTGTGTATTATGTGGGGGTTCGCCTCATGGTGCAAGTACCTGAATACAAAGTTTCAAAAGGCAGCTTGTGAGAATCAACAACAGATTTAGTTGGTTTTACTTGATAAATTATACAAATTTGCTGTAGTTATAGCGTCCACAACATTACGATGACGAACACATATGCGAATTTTAGTTTTGAATTGTTGGGCAAACCAAGATTTGGTCAAGGCTGAATCCTTTCTAGAGATCCAAACTTAATCGATCTACAATAGGGCATATCGACATCAATAACATTGATGACTGAGTTGTGTATGAATGAAATATGATCAGTGACATACGCTAGTCCTTCTGCAGATCCAATTGCGATGTTCATCCTACGAGGCCAATCCAACAATGCCTCTGCACCTTTGGGGCCATGGAGATGAGTGATCAAGCTATGATTAGGCATGTAATCATAGACTATAAGCCTTTCTTCTCCACCTGCATAAAACCCTAGTAGACCCAACAAATTCTTATGTCGAACCCTCCCTAGTATCTCTACTTCCACAGCAAATTCCATTTCAGCTTTTGCTGTCATAGATTTGAGACGTTTTACCGCTATCTGCATAATCCAATCTCGTGTAAGTTCTAACAATTGATAGCTAACATGTAGGAATTGAAATATTGAATAACAAAGAAGTTTCTTGAAGATTAATCGTGATTACCTCTGATCCATCACTAGTTCGACCCCAATAGACGCTCCCAAAGCCTCCCTCTCCAAGCTTGTTATCATTATGGAAGTTGTTTGTCGCCTGAAGGAGCTGTTTAAGTGTGAAAAACTCCCATGGATAATCTTTGTTCATTTCTGATCTGAAAGGAGCAACAAAACCCTCACAAGCGTGAATCTTCTCTCTCACTCTCTACCATATCTCTATGTATGTGTGTGCACATGCATAATATGTATGTTGAAGCATGATTTATCCATGAAAGCTCATTTAAGGAGTCATATTTGCCTTTCTGATGTTTTATTGGAAATACAACGCAGGCATCTTGAGAGGATTTCCATGTGTTAACAGAGAAAGCAAATCTCTTATATCTGATGCTACAGATGTTAGCTTTGGAGTCCTGTGAAGTTTTTCTTTCACGATAGATGGCTTTCTGCACAATGAAAGATAATAAAAAAAAAAAAAAATGTGAGCTCTTCACTAAAAAAGTAAAAAATTTAAGAGATTTAAGTACATATTTTAAAACTTTTAGGTAAAATATGCAATGCTCAACTTATATGTGAAAATTACAAAGAAGGTCAGTCAAACATCTTTTTTTTTTTCAAAATTACCCCTCATTCAACCAGATTTTTTATATTTTTAATTCTTTTTAAATTTGTTTTGTTAGTAGTGCAATGCCTTAGAGTATGGGGCACTTTCCTACTAAATGAAAAACTAAAAAAAGAAATTAAAATTCGGGTTGACCGAGGAGCAATTTTGAAAAAATAAAAAAAAGTTGATTGACTGATCTTCCTTGTAATTTCTGCCTATAAACAGAGCATTTATATTTTACCTAAAATTTTAAGGTCTGTATATAAATCACTTTAAATTGTTATATTTAAAATTTTTGCAATGCAATCAGTTGCCTGTTCAAGTAGTAAGTACTATTCATAATACTTTAATGTTACAATGACTTTAAGCTCTTACTGATGCCGAGCTAAAATATAAGAAACTAATTTAAGAATCGTGAATTTTTTTGCACAACTTAAGCAATGTACCTCTTAACATTGCTTAAGTAGTTTTAATGTTGAAAAACTCTTTGATTGATCATCTCGACATCGAGATGTATGACTACAAAAAATAAAAAGATTTTAAGTCTCAGAAATAATACGCTTTACAACATATTATCTACACCGTCCGTTTTCAAGATTTTCATATGTTAATAGATCTACTTGATTTTAACCATTTTTTAAATTTAAAATTTTCTAATTATATATACAAATAGATTTTGAGATAATCCTAAGAACATTTTACATCAAAATTATATACATGATAACATTTGAAGGTACACCTTACCTCTATACCTACGAATGCATCTGTATGCTTGCACCTATAATAGAATGGAAAAGTAGTTCATGCATTGGGGGATGCATTCCTACATTTTTGTCCCCTAAGGCATAAGCCATCCATCCAAAGATGGATGTAAGTGACAGTCCTTCAGAAAAAAAAAAAAAAAAAAAAAAAAAATACAAAGGCTCAAGTATTTCCTTCCAAAAAATACCATTTTATTTATTTTGTTTTTGTGTATTAGTAAATAATCTTTATGTTAGGAATTATACATTCTTTGAGAATCGGCTGTCAAATTTTATTTTAAAAATAAATTATTGTCGCATTTCTACACTTAAGTCTAGGGACTCATAGAAACTACGTCCTGATATAATTTTTTACATACCCCAATAGTTATAGGATGTGGTTTGTATAAAAATAAAGTAGGGTGCACGTTCAAATAGTGTGTCGAATTATGTTGTTTTGATAACATAAATCTTTATGATGGCCTAAGAATTTACTTTTATTTCTAATTATAAAATTAAAAATTTAAAAAAATAGTGCGATCAAACTGATCCATGAGCACTTAAAAATCTAATATATTGATAGTCTAGATAATACATTACAAGATGCACTATTTCTAATACTTGAAATTTATTTTTTTCATGTTCATCGAGATGATCGAATTGAGGGATTTCCAGCATCAAAACAATATTTTCTTATGAATTTTTGACGTGCGCCTTAATTTGATTGATTAGGGTCTCACCTTTAAGTAAACTTTTTCCTTTAAATTTTGGGAAAGGTATATAGAGAGACCATTAACCATTTATTTTTAGGATAATGAGGTTATAATCACGATTTCAAATTGAGTAGTTGTAAGAGTGTCATTGACTAGACTCAAAGTTAAAAATATATTCTTGAACTTCATAACACATCTAAGCCATTCAATTTCACATATAACAGCTATAAATAATTGTAACATCCACAAAACTAAATTGTCTCGTAGCATACAAATCCCTTACTTTTCGATGTACACAATTTCAATTAATGCAATTGTCCCATCCTTACAGCATTCTCTCTCTACATAAGTTTTTGTTTTTTTTTTTTTTGTAGTTCAGCAATAGTATTTGAACATACGGATTGTCCTTTTATAATCATCAACGCCCGATTCATAAAATTTACGCCTTGGACTCAAGAATATGAGAGTTCTAGAGAGAGAGAGAAACTGAGAGTTCTAGAGAAAGAGAGAGGTGAGACAAGTGCCAGGCAAAGCAATTCAGTAAGCTTGAAACATAATTGTTCATCACTTAGTGCATCTGATAATGAAACACAGGCAAAGAAAACTAGAAGGGCGCGGTTTGTATGGAGCCGAGGCTCTAAATAATCAAAGTAAAGCGAACCTTCAAATAATAACGAGAAATGTAGTTTCAATACTGGAAATCTCTGTGATAGCCTTAAAATATATTTTTATATTTAATTATAAAATTTAAAGCTTAAAAAATAGTGTACATCAAGCAGATCTATGAAAACTTAAAAATTGACTGTCCAAAAATACATTATAAGATAAACTATTTTCAAAACTTGAAGTCTATTTTTTTTTTTCATGTCCATGCATCTTGATGTCGAGATGATCAATTTAAGGATATATGGGCATCAAAACAACCTCTTCTAGTGAAATTTTTGAAGTTGACTCTAATTTCATGTTTAGAGACTAACTCTATATAAATTTTTTTCCAAAATAGAAAATAAAACGAGAAGCAAAGAAAAATAGAATCACTGACCTCAAAACCAAGAGGGCTTAAAACTTGTGCTCTTTTCGGCACTCATCTTCTCTCCATAGGTTGATGTCTCATCTTCTCTCCGGAGGTTGATGTCTGGTCTTAGAGGAGGAGGGAAGTCTTAGGAGATGATAATGGGAAAGAGAGAGATCCATGGAAGTTAATCACAATTAAGCATTTATTTTTATTATTATCAAGTGGGTCTTACACCTGAGATATCAAATAGTTTTTAGTGAAACATGAGGAATCGGAGTTTTCAAAGCAAGGTGAGAAGAGAAATGGGTTTGAGCAAGTCAAGACAGAGAAAGACAAGAAGAAAGGGACAAGGAAAGGGGGCTAAGGTCCGAACACACTACCAACTCCTAAGCTGCCAATACTCTTTCCTGGGCTTTCTCGCTGGCTCCCTAGTGCCTTGTCCTTTTTCACTTTGGTGGCAATGGGCCGGGTGACCCTGTCCTGGCTTTGAAAAACTAGGGCCTGGGCCACCAGGCCAAGACAGGCCAGATTCTTCTCTCTCATTTTTGCATTGTTTTTTAGTTTTACCTAATCAGGCTGGCCGTGATAAGGCCAAGGCCAGGCTTGGGCAGGCCCTCAGGGGAATAGGGCTGGGTTAGGGCTAGGATTGGCCTGGCCCATTGGCAGCTAGTCTATGTGCTTTCATTTTTTAGAATTTCTCACCACTCCCCCCCAAATTTTAAGAAAATACAAGAAAGAAACCATTTTCACTGCTGTGTATATTAAACTTTAAAGGGAGAGGAGATGACCCTCTAAAATCTCAGGTATTGATGGCAGTGTCGTTAGACTGTAAATCGCAAGGCTTTTCAAGAACTATTGAGAACACTTTAGTTTCTCTTTATGTGCCTCTCCATGACCATAAAACCCTAATTTATAGAGGAGTGGGAGGAAGTCATTCTCCAACATTCCGCTTTCTTTTTTGGAATCTTTGAGAAGGGGCCTCAATACCTGAAAGATGGGTAATTATATACTATCCGTTGAAAAAAGTATTTTCTCTCACTAAAAAGCTTTTTAAAGATAAACACCACATAGTATTTTTAGGAAAAATATTGATTAGATTAAAAGATAAAAATATAGTACATGTGAGGCCTCATGGCATGATCTTGCATTAGAAATCTAGATTATGATATAGGGTATTTATGATTAGAAAAAGTAATTCAATAGCTACCGAAGTTACAAAGTGGTCATAATTACTCTTGGTCTCTTGGCTACTAAATCGGAAATCCGGCAAATTCATTGCGCTCGTGCTGTTAATTTAGTTCAAAAGTTGAAAAAAGTTTTTTGAATTTTATGACACACCGTAAGCTAACAATTAAACATGATTATGACCTCCTTACAACAAAATAATCGTATAGTATGCAGTCTCTTATGATTATCCCTAGATATTTTTACTAGAAAATCTTAGTCCACTTTTCTTTTTTTGGGGTATTAGCTTGCCAAAAAGCCTAGGCCACTATTCATCTTCATTTTCTAACTCCTACTTTTCTTTGCTCTTGGATGTCTCTCTCAGCTCTCAAACCGCCGTTTCTCGCTTTAAAATCTAACAAGGATAAAAGGATTTTCTCTCTCTTTGATATGAACGTACTCTTCCCATGGAGAATGGTATATATTTATTCGATTGGTTTTTTTTTAACTCAAAATTCTGGATATAATTCAAAATCCTTAAATGAGTATGTAAACAAATAAATTTGGATGGTGAGCTCGTAAACGTTTAGATCTGATAGTCCAAAAATTGGATGGTCGCTGTTCAATTTTAAGACATTCTTTTCAGGACCAAATAAAGTATGTATCAAATTCTTTTTATTTTTTTAATTTTTTTGAGGTTGGTCACTTGATTGAGGTTAAATTTCAAAATTCGGATAGACACACAGCAAATGGCTCATATTCAATCCGAGCTTATCTAAAATCTAGTATGAATGGGCTCTTTTTATTTAAATTTTGTATTAATCTTTGTGAGCTGAAATTCATGGGAGAGATGAGCTCAACCAAGTGAAAAAGAAAAATTGTACAAAAATCATACAAACAAGTATAATGATGAAAATGCTCTAGGTTCTAGTTCGTCTACCCCAAATATTGGCATTGACTGGCCCACCCCCACACAATGCGTGTGCATGCACATTTATATTTGTGTGTGTATATATATGTGTTTATATGTATATATATTTTTTTGGTATAAAAGTTATTTTTATAGCTAGCCTCATTATCAGGTAAGTGTTCATTAAAATTATTTTAAAAAGTACAATGAAAATAAGTGTCAAGCAATTTTGTTAATACAAATTCCATTAGTGAAACTTCAATTGCATCCTTATTATAATGACAAAAGTACCTTTTGTATTTCATTAATAATTATAACTAGACACTTAAACAATGATCAATGTAGGAAAGGGGCCGGGTCATGGTGGTAGCACCCCTATACCTAGTTATCACATTATGGCTTTCAATCCTACTGACACCACCCGCTGATACCTTCAATCCCATTACACCTAGTTATCACATTATAGCTTTCAATCCCACTGACACCACCCGTTGATACCTTCAAAAAGCGAACTCCTAATCCATTTGGAAAAAAAAAAACCAATGTAATCATAAAAAATAACTTTTTAATAAAAAGTAGTTAACATATATATGTCCATCATTTACAAGTCATTATTACATTAACTTTTGTATTTTGAAGAGTTGTTAACTTTAATTAATGATAGATAGGTCCTTGTAGTTTTTATTTTGAATGTTAATTTGGGACCGTAGGGAAAGAAACTCTAGGCATCATGTTCAATCTAGGGGTGGCCATGGGTGGAGGGAACCCGGCTTGGCCTAGCCCTAAAACTCTATGGCTTGGGCCACAAAATGTGGTGCAAGGGCAGGGCCTAGACCATGACAAGAAAGGCCCGGCCCGGCAGGTCCTGTCTTAGCCCAACTCTTCCTTTAGTTCTTTAACTTTTTTTTCTTTGCTCGGCCTAAATAGGGCTAAGGCTGGCCCTTAAGGAAACAAGGCCGCGATAGGGCTAGGACTGGCCCTGGCCGGGCCGTTGCCGGCCCTAGTTGAACCCCCTTCTTTTCCCTTTGTTTGATTTTAAAATCATTAACAAAAACAACCCCATTGCCACTATCTGCTTCATGTTCCTCTCAATAAAACGTGCCACAATTGATAACCATCACCAAAAAGTTAGAAAAGAATCACGAGTAAATATGCTGCTCATCAACATGAACGATATCCATTATTTAGGTCATAGCTGGTGCCTATTGTCTCAGCCACGTATGAAGACAAGTCCATGGAATAATTTGAGAGAAAGCCAAAAGGCCATTATCAATGCTTCACCATGTAACAATATTATATTAGAGAAATGCATACTATTAAAAAAAAGACCGGATCACTTTGCAACGTATAAAGTATTAGAGTTGACCCTAGCTTTTAGGCTTAGGGTGCGGTTTCTATTAGGTTGCAACCTTAAACAATCCAATTAAGGTGCATCTCCAAATTTTATCATAACATATAATTTTATTGTAAAAAATTCTTAGGATTATCTTAAAACTATTTTCATATCTAATTAGAAAATTTTAAATCTAAAAAATGGTTAAAATCAAGTAGATCTATAAATATATGAAAATCTTGAAAATGGACGGTCTAGATAATGTGTTGCAAGATGCACTATTTTTTGGATTCAAAATTTTTTTCATATTCATACATCTCGATGTCGAGATGATTATTTAGAGGGTTTTTCAAAATTAAAACAACATTTTCAATAGATTTTTGAGGTACATATGTGATTCTACATTTTAAGGTTACAACCTTATATAAACTTTTCCCTTAGGCATTTGACACTACTAGTATTTTTGAGAAAGGGAAATGATTATTCTTCAAGTCGTTGTGCCTTAAGTCTAAGCATTTATTTATGAGAATATATAGCGAGCTCCAGCTCTTGTCCAATATAGTATTTATTCCTTTTGGACAAAGACCTAGAGGATATTTTTTTTATTTGAAAATTTCTTGATTTGAAATTCTGGGATGCATTTTACAATTATTGGATGAGTATACCTAATACTTAGATTAGGCCATCTAAAAATTGGATGAAAGGACAGTCAAAAATCATATAATTTTTATTTTTATTTTAAGAATTGTTACTAGATTGAGGTTATACCTAAATTTGGATTCCTAAACATACGCCTGAGTAGGATCTTACCTAGAGATTGAATGTACAATATACTACTAGGAAAATATGATCGGTTGGCTTTATTGATTGGAAAAATTTCATATTGGCACCCAATTTCCATTTTAGTGGCCCCACCCAATTTTTTCTTTGAGGTGGCATTATCGAAATTGTGACTTTTTATATTGATTTGGTTTTTTTTAAAAACAAAAATTTTGCATGTACCTCTCACAAGTACACTTTCTAGACAACTCCTCAACCAAACTTCTTTTCGATAAAAATACCCTTTAGTCAAAAAGTCACATTTCTCAACGTGATTTACCTACGGTCCGACACTCTAACCAAAGGGTCCGGCACATCCGTTTCTCGGTCTAGTAGTTGTGGCTTGATTTGTCTTCACGCGGCCAGCACTTTTCACACTCGATTGGGCACTTTGGCTTATGTCTCTTTTGCGGGTTCGGCAATCTCATGATGGGCTCCAGCAAGTGAAGAGCAGTCTGGCAAATGGTTCCCTCGGTCAAACACTATTTTAAAGGGTATTTTTGCTCAAAACATTATAACTTTTTGTTTTGTTTTGGAGCGTATTTACTATATCATTGTACCCTCCCTCCTCTCTTGTCTCACTTTTTTTCACCTCGAAATGGATATTAATAATTTTACTTATACGAAATGAGGATTCTCTCTTCCTCCTTATACCTCTCGCCCAACCCAAATCATCTCGCTTCCTCTCTCTCTCTCATCGTGAGCAACGCACCATCACCGTCCTCTTTTGTGGATATGCTCTCTCATCGAGAAAGTCTTTATTTGGTACAAGTAAAATTGTTAATACTAAATTTTGGATGAAAAATATGAGAAAAGAGGACGGAGGGTATGATGATATATTTAGTCAAAATTTAATGCCTTCTGAATAAAAGAAAATGGGGAGCGGCTATCATGATATTGAAATAAAAATTGGGGTT